TAAATTAAATTTCAATTGTCATATATTTAAGTGTGCAACTATCTCCTAAAGCACTATTACATCCGTCTTTGAAGATAGAAGAATCAACATGTCAATACAAGACATAAGGATTTCAAGACCGAAGTTTTGATCAACAGTTATGGGTTGGGTTTGGATACCATGGTGATTCTTTTGTAGTGTTTGTATAAGAAAAAACACAACACCATGGTATTTTTTCTCTAAGGGACTGTTTGGTTCGCTATTATAAGGGGTGGAAAACTCAGAAAACCCCTCCACGTCAGATTTTTAGCCCTCCACATCAGCGTTTTTGTTTCCGTCCATTTCTTTGTGCCGCTTTGGTTCGCTCGAATGGAAGAGGGAAAACTCTGCTGAAATCGCCGCCAACTAAGATTTTTTTCCCTCTCCGATTTCCTTCCCCAACCAAGTGAAATTTGATAAAAACTCTGCCACGTCAGATTTTTTTTCTTTCTCTGCTTTGTTTACAAAAGTTTTCCTTTTTTTTCTATGCGAACCAAACACAAGAAAAATAAATACATTGGTTTCCCACCATTTTTTATGTGCGAACCAAAGCAAAACAATATATTTCTTGGAAAAGTTTGGAAAACTCAAAACTTATGTTTCTTTACATGGAATTTCATTTCTCTATATCAAGGAAACGAACCAAACAGCCCCTAAAAGCATTTTCAAAACACAATGTTGAGTTCATTTTGTCAAAACTACTTTGACACTTTTCATGCATGTATTATAATATTATTTTATATTATTATATAACATATTATATAAAATAGTTTATCTAATATACTAAAAGCCTTCATAATTTAGTATTAATTATATTATAAATATAGTATCATACATTATGCTTATTATATTATATTGCTTAATTAATACAAAATTATTATATTTATATTATAAAAGTTAATACATTACATTAACTAATATTTATATTTAATAGTATAATACAATTTCATATAATATAATCTAACATAATATGTATTATCATACATTTTATAACAATGTGATACAATTTCTTAAAATATAATAAATGAAATTAATATAATATATTATTATAAGATATTAATTAATAAATGAAATTATTATCTTTACTTTTCTTACTCATATTTTTTTCCTGGTTAGAATTTGATATGCAAACATTACGTTTTATAGATGTTTATGAACTGATACGTTTACTTGGTGGTTAGATCGATGTTGAATCTAACAATATTTATTTAGATCAATAAATATTCTACTGGTATTGCCCATGGTTTTGAAGCGCTCATGGCTTTGAAATCTAACTGGTTTTGTTTTTTGTAGTTGACTCAACTACTCAGTCTCCATTAAGTACATGTTTGGTATTTTCAGGTTTGATGCGATTTTCCATGTCATACACATATTTATGACTAATCAGGTTGTTTATTGGTTTTTTACAGGTTTCATATGAAATTTTCGCTAAATTCAGGTACGTATTTCATAAAATTATGAATAATCAGGTTATTACATGTTTCGATTGATTTTTTTTCATGTCAAACAGGCTTTGTGTGATTTTTTTCATGTCAAACATGTACATTCCATATCAAATCAGGTACGTAATTCATAACAATTAATCATGTTATTACAGATTTCTTATGATTTTTTATGTCAAACAGATATTTATAGTGAATTCAGTATTTAATACTTTTTCATGTTACATTCGCACTTTTATTTTACTAAGATTAACTCTCATAATGATCAAAAATAAATTTATTTTTAGTGAATGGTAAACTTATCATGATGTCCGTATATACTTTTTTCTTACACACTTCAATATCAACTAAACACAAGAAAAGTAAAAAATGTCTAACTAACAAAAGTTTCTCCTTTTTTTATACCAACTAAACACAAGAAAATGGTGTACATTGTTTTCCCATCATGTTTTATGTGTGAACCAAACCTAAACAATATATTTCTTGGAAAAGTTTAAAAAACCCGAAACTTGAGTTTCTTTACATGGAATTGTATTTCCCAATATATGGGAAACGAACCAAACAAACCCTTAATGTCAAAATTTCCATGAAAATTTATTGCACGGTGCCAAATTACACTTACCTAAAGTTGCTTCTTTTTACCGTAGTGATAAAATTCGGAAAAGTAGAGCTTTGCTACAGAGACCCAAAATATAGGATCAATAGGGAGGACATGTGAGATGTCTCTCTCCTATTGCATAATGACCTGACCATCATTAATAATAACCAGCTCATTATGCAATAGGAGGAGTTCATATTTTGAGTCATTGGGAAATTTTTCTATAAATATTCTTCCGTACAGAGCCCATTTTCAATTTAGACCTGAAAAATAGAATCACTCGGTCAACGGAAATCCAGAACATACCTTAAATCATTCCCACTAAAATGCAATAAAATGGATATCCAAAACCCAACTAAAAAGCTTAATTTTGACATTGAACTAAGAGCATCTCCAAGGGATCCCTTGGATGTCCCTTAATCTAGGGGGAACTTTAAGGGAGGGGTTGGTTCTTTTCGGACTCGAACTCAGAAGTGGAGTTACTGCCAAATCAGGAATCCGACTTACTGCCAAATCAGGTCAATGAGTCAAGTCTGGATAAATCAATCACAGAACCGAATCACGGATAGAACCAAAAACAGAAAACGACGGAACAACGCCTAAGGGGGCTCGGCTTAAGCCGAGCCACCCATAGGTGGCTCGGCCAAAGGTCCCTTAATCTAGGGGGAACTTTAAGGGAGGGGTTGGTTCTTCTCCAATGGTTCCCCCTTAAAAGTCCCATACCCCTTAATTAATTATATTTAGTTTTTTTATTTTATAGATTAGGATTTAATTAAATATGTGGTTTATTTATAAATGAATAAATAATTAAATATTAATAACTAAAAATGATTAATTAATTAATTTAAATTAAGAAATTACCTTATATAATCATTAAATTAATTATTCATATTAAAATTTAACAGATAATTAATTTAGAACAAAATATTAATCAAATTGAATTAACTATATATTAACTTATTTATATTATTTTAAATTAACTATACATTAACTAAATTTAATTAACTATAAATTAATTCTAAAAACATATTGTGATCCTCCCAACTACCCTAGAAATCAATAAAACATGCCCGTAACAAATCTTATAACACTTGGTTAACGGCGCCTTCCCCGTAATAAAACATGCCCGTAACAAATCTTATAACACGGTTGCAAGTGCACCACCATGTTAGGCAGAGCCTCCCATAATTAAAACCTACTTAAGCACCTTCCCCGGCAACGGCGCCAAAAACTTGATGCGGCATAAACATGTAAAATTAATTCTAAAAACATATATATTAATATAAAATTATAAGGGGAAGGTTAAGGGACTTTAACCTTCCCTTCCCCTTAATTTGGTGAGGAAGTTAAGGGACATGGGGTGAGAGCATCTCCAAGGGGCCGGAAAAATCCGGCCCCTTAGCTAAATTTGGGGATTTTTAAGGGGAATGGGTTCCAAGGGGCCGGAAAAATCCTCCTTCAACCCATGTCCCTTAGCTTCCTCCTCAAATTAAGGGGAAGGTTAAAGTCCCTTAACCTTTTTTTATTAATATATTTTATTTTAGATTTAATTTATAGTTATTAATTTTAGTTAATGTATAGTTAGTTTAAAATAATATAATTAAGTAATGTATAGTTAATTTAATTTAATTAATATTTTTTAAAATGTACCCCTTATATAATTTTTATTATAATTTTTTATTAATATTTTTTATTAAGTATAGGTTGTTTGTTAAATTAATATAAAAATAATATGAATTTAAATTTAAAATAATATTTAACTTTTAACACAATTAAGAAATTAAAATCTAACTACAAAATAAATTACAAAAATCTAAACTACAAAATAAAATTATAAGAATTAATTTCAAGAAAATAAATCTATTCTATAAGCATGAAATAAATCTAAGGCAAGAGGGTTCTAGCCTCTTGGCTATAATTTAAATTAATTAATTAATTATATTTAGTTATTAATATTTAATTATTTATTCATTTATAAATAAACCACATATTTAATTAAATCATAATCTGTAAAATTAAAAAACTAAACATAATTAATTAAGGGGTAGGAGACTTTTAAGGGGAAACCATTGGAGGAGAACCAACCCCTTCCTCAAAGTTTCTCCTAAATTAAGGGACATCTAAGGGATCCCTTGGAGATGCTCTGAAGGGTTTTTTTTCCGATCCCTTGGACCACATCTCCCTTAAATCTCCCTTAATTTAGCTAAGGGGCCGGATTTTTCCGGCCCCTTGGAGATGCTCTAAAGCTCTTCAGCTTGTAAACTTTTAAAATTTTCCAAAAAGAACCTGGTAGTCTTTAAGGGCATCTCCAACCCAGCCCCATTTTGGTGCAAACAGTGCTTTTTGTTGCACTGTTCCTTCTCCAATCCAGCCTCATTTTCTGCTTCATTTTGGTGCAAATGAACAGTGCTGTACCAAATATGACGTCGCACTGTTCATCCGCCCCATTACTGTTCACTTTTTTAATTTTTTTTTAAATATTTGTTTTTACCTCTCAATTAATATAAAAATAGATAAAAGGGAATAAAGTGAGAATATACTAAGAATATTTTTTTTTTGGTGTAAAAAATAGTGCAATGGGTTGGAGATGTATTACTGTTTGATGTGACTTTTGCACCATTTTGATGCAAAATTTGCACCATTTTGGTGCAATGGGTTGGAGATGGTCTAAGGGATGAGAGAACTACCAATTCAAAAGAATAACATTTTAGAGGACTTCATCACAGTCTGTTGGGGTTAGCTCACAAATATTGAAGAAAAACCCGAAGATTTTTAAGCTAGCAGCAGTAATTCAACTGAGAACAGCAATCACAAAGAATCAAAATCCAGAAATCTGAGAAATCTACTCAAGGACTAGTTGAGTTTTTATTTTGAGCTGTATGAACTTCAAACTGAATCCAGATTTTGCGCCTTAACCCGTTAGTCAGTAGTAATTGTTTATCTTCTGAATTAAAATGGAAGGGAAGAAAAACCCTAAATAATACAGAGAAAGGTATATTCAAAAGAAGAAATTGTTTCCCCTTTGCCCCCTTACCTCACATTTCCATACTCCGCCTACACCCATTTTTCTCAACCCCTTCCCATTTCCAGCCCCTCAACAATCATCTAGCGCTGCAGACCCCCCAGTCGGGTGCTCCGACCTCCGGTGAGCGAGAGCAGGCGTCACCGCCGTTATCAACTCCCCCATTCTCCCCACCAGCCCCCCCCGCCGTTATCAACTCCCCCATTCTCCCCACCAACTGCTCGAACGACGGTCGCCTCCTTGGATCGCTTCACCGCCCAAATGAAAAACAGTAAAAACCATTTCGTTGGAAAATTGGTAAAACCCCCAACTTAAATTTTTTTTAAAATTTTTTTTCTACCTGTCCCAGCAATCGCAGATGATGGAGGAGACTCGAGGGTCCATGTTTGGAGGTAAGTCTAGCCTCCGGTCCATGATCCCGACGACCCCAATTACCTTCCAAAGATAGAAAAAGAGAGTAAAGCTTACAAATCCCATGTCTGAAAACAAACAGCAAACAGCAAAATAACTGACCTGGAGAGGGCTGAGCTGGCTCCAGGGGACGGATTCGGTCATGAGCTCCCACAAAACGACGCCGAAGCTGAACACGTCTGACCTGAAAAAGACCCATCTCTGGTAAGCCTACTTTATTTTTTTCATTTTATAAAAAATTTTCCATTGTAGACTCAAACCAACTTTTAATTATCAAAATCGACCCATTTTTTTTAATTACTAAAATTGACCTACTTTATGCCACGTAAGCTTAATCTCATTTTTTAATTAGCTGGGATTGTCAATCCCGACTGTTTAGAAGGTTGTTAAACCCCAATTAGAAGCTTTAAACTCAAATTTTAATACCCTAAATAGTCGGGTTGTCAACCTCGACTAATTAGGAAATGTGATTAAACTTACGTGACATAAAATTGGTCGATTTTGATAATTAAAAAAAAAGATCGATTTTGGTAATTAAAAGTTGGTTTGAGTCTACAGTAAAAATTTGTTCTTTATTTTATTTTATTTTGTTTTGTTTTCCGTAGCTTAATATCAGAAAAAAAAGCCCTTAGCTTTGGACGATCATAAGATAACCACCTCCCATTCTCTTCAAAATCAGTAAAATCAACTTAAATTGAGAGGTTATTAGGAAGACCCTTTAACTTTAAGATTCCCTCCCCCAACCCAACCCCCCTACAATTTTCACCGAAAAGACATCCCCTCCACCCTTGGGGAAAAATGAGGTTAGTGCATACCATCTTCAATGGCAAGGCAAAAATTGTCTTTCTCTCTCCTTCCACCTCACTTTATTCTCCCTCCACATCACTTGCCTTTTTCAATTGCCTTTCAATTCCACAACAACTAATTTTTCAAAAAGTTTTTCACTTTATCTTTCCTCCACATCACTCAATCATGATAATTAAGTAAAAAATTAAGTTTTATTTGCTTTGTCCAAATAACACAAACTCAAGCTCTATTAATAGATCTTGAAAAATAATAAATAGTGGTGAAAAAATAAAAAATTAATTTCGAGTAATTATTGATCAAAACAGTCATTTAAAAACAAGGTGAGAATAATTGTAAAAACTTTATGACACGCGGGGCCCAACAAGAAATTTAACACAAAGGCAAAATTTGCCTTCCATTGTCTTTCTCTCTCCAACTTTTTCATTTGCCTTTCAATTTGCCTTGCTATTGGATGTAATAATTTTTGAGTTGCCTTGCCATTGCACTTGGTCTAAAGGGGGGTTTTCTGTTAAAATCTAACAGTTAAGCGAGGTTTTTCGACAACCCCTAAAGTTAAGGGTTTTATTATTATTTTTTTATTTTAAAAGTTATGGGAGGTTATCTGATAATCGTACATAGTTAGGGATTACTTTTTTTGACATTTATGCCTTTTTATAGCATTTTTGTAAATTTTATTTGGTTTAGTTTAATTTAGTTTCTTACTTTCTTTACTAAGAAATTAAAGGATGTGAGAAGTAAAAGTTAGGGGTGGTTGCTGTATCATATATCCATTATTATAGTTAGGGGTGGTTGCTGTATCATATATCCATTATTATTCGTTCAACTTATGTGGGAGCATTTAAGAAAAATCAAATAATATTAGTATTTAGAATAATCAAATATGATCGTCTCTATATATTCGATTCATTTGCTTATCAAACGTTTGTTTAAAGACTTAAATCATTTGTAACATGTGTTATTACACACGCTATGTTATGTTTTGCCATTTCCTACACTTGGTGGTTCAACTGGTTCTATATTAATATTGGGGAAAAATTGTGTCAAGTCCTCAAAAGTAAAACATTCATGTGCTGCAACCCCTCCACTTTTTCCCCATGTGGTTCAGCCCTAAGAAATGTCATATTATGTGCTGCAGTCATTTTTCATGTAATTATCATGCTAACTAAGCACAAAGAGAGAGAGAAACAAACATAAAAGCCCAAAATACCCTCATTTCCTCCTCCCTCTTCGTTTTCTCCAGATCTATCATGTTAAGTCCAATTTGATTCATGTTGTCTAATTTAATTTCTTTTAAGTCTAATTTAAATCATGTTAAGTCTAATTCAACTTGTTTTAGGTTTAAAAATAAGTTAAATTAGAGTTAACATGAATCATGTTAAGTCTAATTTAACATGTTTTCAGTCTAATTTTATGTTAAGTCTAATTTGATTCATATTACGTCCAGTTTGATTCATGTTAAGTCTAATTTAATTTCTTTTAAGTCTAATTTCAATCGTGTTATGTCTAATTCAATTTATTTTAAGTCTAAAAATAAGTTGGATTAGACTTAACATGAATCATGTTAAGTCTATTTTAACTTATTTTAAGTCTAATTTCATGTTAGGTCCAATCTTACTTCATGTTAAGGCCAATTTGATTCATGTTAAATCTAATTTAATTCCTTTTAAGTCTAATTTTAATTCAGTTTAGTGTTAAGTCTAGTTTAGTTCATGTTAAGTCCAGTTTGATTCGTGTTAAATCCAGTTTGATTCGTGTTAAATCCAGTAGTTCATGCTAAGTCCAGTTTGGTTCGTGTTAAGTTTAGTTTAAATCTTTTTAAGTCTAATTTAAATTATTTTAATTCTAATTTAAATCATTTTAAGTCTAGTTTAAATTAGACTTAACATAAAATTAGACTTAAAATAAAATAAAATAGACTTAACATGGATTATATGTTAAGTCCAATTCGGTTCATGTTAAGTCCAATGTAATTCATGTTAAGTCCAATACGGTTCATGTTAAGTTCAATTCGGGTCATGTTAAGTCCAATTTGATTCATGTTAAGTCCAATTCGGTTCATCTTAAGTTCAATTTAATTCCTTTTAAGTCTAAGTTATATCATGTTATATCTAATTCAACTTATTTTAAGTCTAAAAACAAGTTGAATTAGACTTAATATGAATCATGTTAAGTCTATTTCAACTTATTTTAAGTCTAATTTTAATCATGTTAAATTCTTTTTTAAGTCTAATTTAAATCATGTTAACTCTAATTTAACTTTTTTTAAGTCTAATTTCAGGTTAAGTCCAATTAAATTAGACTTAAAACAAGTTGAATTAGACATAACATGATTTAAATTAGACTTAAAAAGAATTAAATTAGACTTAACATGAATTAAATTGGACTTAACATGAAATTGATCTTAAAATAAGTTGAATTAGACTTAACATGAATTAAATTAGACTTAAAACAAGTTGAATTAGACATAACATGATTTAAATTAGACTTAAAAGGAATCAAATTAGACTTAATATGAATTAAATTAAACCTAACATGAAATTAGACTTTCATGTTAAATCTAATTCAACTTGCTTTTAAACTTAACATAAAAGAATAGAGGAGATAAGAGCATTTTAGGATTTTTTTTTTATTTTTTATTCTCTCTCTATGTTTAGTGGGCAGATAATAATTGCTAAAGAATGGCTGTAGAACATAGATCTTCAATTTAAGAGCTAAAACACATGGGAAAAAGTCAAAGGGCCTGCAACACATGAAGTTTTTGATTTTAGGGTCTTGACACAATTTTCCCTTAACATTGAGAAACTGTAGAATTCAAAATGACATTTTAAATAAATACCAAATTATACAGATTTATAGATCATAACTATAACTATAAAGAGACAATTTTCAATTTAAAGAAATCAAATTCATGCGAAACAAAACTTACTTCTCGTTAGACCAGTCGCCTCTAAGGACCTCGGGCGCCATCCACTGAGGCTGTATACATAAACCCAATATAGGCATATAGAACTTACGGTTGTACTATATTTTTGTCGAGAAATCATAGTTCCAGAATTCATAAACAGTATCAAAATCACCCTTGCTAACACTGTTCATGTACAATGTTGACATGGTATTTTCAGAATTCACAAACAGTGATATATGTTTTATCTTTGTCCAGTTTTTATTTTAGAGCTGAACGATAGAAAAGGTTTCCTGTAGTAAACCCCAACAGGTTCAAGATAAATGCATTCTCAGATATGATTCACTAATACATATTCTTAAGATGTGTCTTTAGTAGTTAGATAGACAGATGCAATAATAAAAGTTGTAACTGATCGAAGTTGCAAAGGAGAAGGGTTTACATTTGCTCGTCTCACTGTAGTTGTCGATGTAGCTTCTTCTGAAATCTTTCTTAGAAAGTTTATTACCTTTATCGATCGTTTATTAGCATGGCTGTCAAGTAGTGTCTATGTGCAATGAAACCTTATGTACGTAATAACGACTATAACAACTTTGCAAGTCGATGTGTTTGAATGTACCCCTTCATGAGTTGTTGCAAATTGGATTTATATAGCACAGTTCATAGCTTTAAGAAGAGGTGAATACAAGAAGAACATGCTTAAGGGGTTAGGAATAATTTAATAAACCTGTAAACCTAGTCATTTGGGACTCGCTAGAGAATGATTTTTAGATATATACCAACATTAAACTCCCTTAATCCCTATGCTAACCGATGATGAGTTTTTAGAAGGCGAGGAACACATACAATCTATGTTCAACTCCTAAATTTTTAAGGAATTTGCATTATGATCCTCTAAAATGTGATGTAGAAGCCCCTTACAGTTCCTTTTCCAGATGTTGTTGTCAATACAGTTGAGATCTTTAAACACGACAGCCCAAAGTCTCCAACCTGTACAACGTCAGCTTCTCCTTATGTACAGAAAGGCTGTCGCTAGTGCAAAAGATTAAACGCTAAGTTCACATACCTTTACAGTCCAATTTTTGTCAACTAGTAGATTTGATGATTTTAGGTCCCTATGTACGATTGGTGGATTTCTCCGATGCAAGTAGTTCATACCTCTAGCCTGCAACAACATAATTCTCTTCTAATAATGTTCGGAAAAAATGATATAATTTCAAACAAAAAAGCTGAGATGTTTACTGAAGAGACCTACAACATCAAGCGCCATCCTTAACCGGCGTTTCATGTCCAACTTCTGATTGTTCTTGTGCAATGTTTTGAATAGACTTCCCCTGTTTGATGAGAATGAGATGATAAGATGAAATCAAAATAATTTTTTTAGGATTATGCTGATCTTTTATTACCTGGGTAAAAATTCTGTTACAATGGCATGCCGTTCACGTGAGTATACTGCTCCCATGAACAATAATACATTTGGATGTCTCAGTCTTTTCATTATAGCAATCTGCAATAAGCATCCAAATTATCGAATATCAAGCTACAATGTCCTTTAACATTGAGGTTTTATCTAGTTAAATACCTCCTTTTTGTATTCCAAGAGAAGCCCCTCTTGATAATCATTTCCTGTGTAGACTTTAATTGCGACATCCTGATAAACAAGAAACCAAAAGTTTATCATTTTATCCACTCTCTGTTGGTGCCTCAAGTGAGTCTTCAAAGCTAAAGGAATATTTGATTCAAAATATCATACCGATCCATTCCAAACTCCACGGTATACAACTGCATATGAACCTGAAGAAAGTAGAACATGATAATTAATCAGTTTGTCTTTCGGCTTTCATATTATCTAGTAGCTTGAGAACTTCATATAAAAACCAAGTGATTGAAATTTGGGGGTTATTTTTTTAAAAGGGCATTTTGGTCATTTCATTATTAACAGGTAACAATAGCAGTGGGGTCTGGAGGAAAAAAATTCGAGTTCAAAGGGGTTGAGTGAGACACCACAAAGACCCCCCCCCCCCCCGGGGGGGCAAGACTCAAATTTAGTTAACAAGTTGAGATCTATTACCTTGACCCACTTCCTCTCCTACACGAAGGTCCTCCCACCGAATGTCACATTTAGTGATCAAGTTGAGATCTTTTTTCCCAACCAGTGAAATACCTGTTTGACTACTACCATCAGTTTCTACTGTATTTGACGAGCAATTTGCTAAGTTTCTCGATGCACGTTCCGCTTTGTTCTTCCCATTTTTTCGGAAACCTACAATAGGCAACGAATCCTTTCATTACATATGGAACTTGCAATTTCTCCCAACAATTCACAGTCGCATTCCTCCTGCTTACTGCAGTTGTTCTTCTTTATGTTAGACAACCTAGTTTTAGTTCGAGAATTGCCTCTTTCAGAACAGTGTATGCATTCGTTATAATTTCTTTTCATCTCATCCTTAGCTATATCTTTCGGTATAGTAAGGGAGTTTGGTGCACAGTATTGCTCTGCATGTCCAGGAACCTACACAAACAAAAACATGTAAGAAAGAGTCATCAATTAAAGTAGCATGAGGCTGAAAATAGGAACATGTCCAGGAACCTACACAAACAAAAACATGTACGAAAGAATCATCAATTAAAGTAGCATGAGGCTGAAATTAGGAACATGTCATCTATCACAACAGAATTATATAATTGAATTTTTCTAGAAGAGTAAGAATGTGGCATTCGAGATATATTTGGTTGGAATGAACTCATGATAAGATTCTGGTAGGTATTGTTGGCTTTTTAAGGTGGAGAAGATGGGTTATGAAAGTACTTTGCCTCATTAGCCATTAAGCCCTTCTCTCTTGTTTCTCTGTTTGGATTTTGATTGTGAATTATAGATAAAACTAGTCTCTAAAAATAGGTTTTCACTCATATACACACATATAAGCTCTATAGGACAGTTATAAGAGCAAAAAAATTAGTACACAGTATACACACACATTGAGGATGATGTTGTCCATCGAATCAATTCGGAATGGTTAAAATGAAAAAGTGCTTCTGGAGTCTTTTGTTATCTTAGAATACCTATGAGATCTAAGAGAAAATTCTATGGAACAGTTATAAGGCCAACAATGTTTGATGGAGCAGAATGTTGGACAATTAAAAAACAACATACACAAAAAATGAGCATAGAAGAAACGAGAATGTTAGGATGCTCTCGTGGGTGTATACTGAAAGTTGGGATACGAAACAAACGCATTCGAAGGAAATCAGAGGTTGCTTCTATAGAGGATTCATGTAACCTACCCCAAAAATTTTGGAATAAAGACTTTGTTTTAATTGTTGTTGCCGTTGTTGTTGTAAGCACACATATACAAGTTTGGACAGCGGCACCTTCTTAGGAGATAGGCTGACTAATATTGCTTTGTTATTCCACATTTTAGTGATGTATTCCAAACGACGAGCTCTATCCACTAGTTCAAATCTTGTTTTTAACTGTTATATTTGGTAAAATCAAGTAACATCCATTCTGAGTATATTTAGTTTTGTTGGCATCCACTTTCTGAAGTGATGAAAATTATTAGTGAAGCCAAGAATTTTACTTTATGTTCAACATGAAGAAACTCATATAATCCATGTCTAACATGAATACTGTAGGGACGACTCTGCTTGTTCCAAACAAGCATGAAAAGTAACAAATACTAGTGATAATATTATTATTTCTATGATTGTATTGTTTGAGTAAAAAAAATTTAAATTTGAAACCTACATGTTGAGTGTGATTGTACAAGGCCAAAACACATACTTGTTTAGCTTCACAATAGTTTTCCTTTGACATATGACTCCGATTTCTGCAGGAACCCGTGCAATCACCTTGAGGAATTGGTGGTGGTGAATCTTCCTTCTACGGTAAGAGGTAAAACATAGTTCAAATATGTATAGTAAAAAATAAGTTGTACTGATAAATAATTTCCTATAAAACTTACATAGATTTTTATAGTTTTGCAAAATGATTAACTCTCAATTTTCTATAGGGTAGCAATTTACAGGTTATATTGAAAAATATCTGAACTTATTATAGATTCTGTACAAGTCAATAAATGAAAGTAAGTAGATAAACAAGCGATGTCAACAAAGAATTGTGTGGGAAATGTAGAATGAGTCTAAAAAGTGCATGGTAGGTATGCTAAATTTAACATATGTATCCAAGTAGAGGGTGAGTACTCAAATTATGCTGCCACTGAGCCTCAGAACTGTCTTTTAGCCTTTGTTCATGCTAATCATTTCTTCTCAAGATCTCCAAATACTTACAAACAGCATTCTTATGTATTTTAACTTACACTTTACATGCTTCACTAGCAAAAGGAAGTGTCAGCATACATACGAGGTACATCCAAGAGGTGAACACAGCTTGGTAATGTGTAATGAAATACTGAATTGAATTGTCAATAGTTCAATACCCTCTCCCGAAAGAATAAATCTAGTTCTCATCTATTCTCAGATATGTTACATAAAATGAAAGCATAAGTAACTTTTGAGATATATCATCTTTGCACAAATAGTCCATGGATCGCTGTTTACTGTACTCTTAAACTTCAATGTAATATGAGATAAGAAATATATTTTAACTTTGGTATGTAAATTGTCTGCGATAGTACATAGCACATGCAAAAATCACATGTTCGGAGAAACAAATATACTTGTTTAATTGAACTTCATACCAAGATATTTATTGAATTATTTTGAACGCCTTTATCTGATTCAGTGAATTTGGGGGTATCTCTTCCGGGATGCAACTTAGAGAAGACTTTCGCAGCCTGTCATTCTCAGAAAAAGCATCAGATTACTAGAAAAATAGAAAAGGCAAAAAAGAGTCTAATAAATCTGCTATAGAAATATAAATGTTTTAAATTCTAAAACAAATAGTACTTATCTGCCAGAACAACAATAAGATCAATCAGTCCTGGGAAACATTACATACAATTTTAGACTGTTGATTAAATTTTGCTAGGATCTCCTCGTACTTATATGTCTTTTCCTCTATGGCCTTCAATCCAGATTGCAATTTGAAGATTGTGCTTGATGCCTGGAAATGAATCCAAAGGCTTTGCTTAACCATGGTCAGTCGAAAGATAAAGGTAAATTTTCTAACGCAACTCCTAAACAAAAGTGTTGGCAGCTTACCGACATTATCCTTGGCTTCTCTGATTGTAAATTTTCTGTCTCTAAACCAAATCCACATCTTTCCCAAGAGTTTTTAATCTCATCATTACTATATGCATGAATACGAGGTAAAAACTTCGAAGCCTGTTCAGCTGAAAATATCATCTGATGTGCTTGAAAACTCCCTACGGTTTGCATGATTTGACAAAAAAATCCCCTTAAGGTTTTAAAAATGAAACTTTA